AGGACTGACCTTGGGGTTGGGGAGAGATTGAGAAAGATGGGTTCAATAATGTATACTGCATTGAAGCAGATGAGGGAGAAAACTGTTTAAAAAGGATATGTGATTAGGTATTTTTGTCATGACAGGAGTCTAAAGCGAAGGCTACATGGTGGAGTCGAACTGGGGAAGGGTTTATAAAACAATGAAAATTTTTTCTTTTACTTTTCCAAGAGGGTAGTGTACTGGGGGAAGGGTTGGGATGGGAGAAAATTGCAACAATGAATGAATGAAAATCCAAAGTCTCTGTAAAGTTTTACTGAAATTAATAATTTAAATTAAAAAAAAACAAATGGACAGTTGATAGTTTAAATGAAGACTAGACATTTTGGAGGGCAGGAAGTTGAAGTCAATGGGAGTGAAAAAGAGACTAGAATAGAAACCAAGAGAATGTTGACACAATGTCGACTACATAACCAATGTCACTGTTTATTATATGTACAAACTGCTGAATGGGACATATTTTCACCAAAAAGTTGTCTATATCTCTCCAAAAGGTAAATAATCTTAAAGAAAAATAGTGATCCAATTTAGCTAATGTAATTATCCACCCTTATAGAATCAGGATTTCTTATAGATGAGGTCTGGGAATAAATAATTTAATAAAATCCCCACATGGTCTATGAGCCACATTCTGAAAACTGTTGTGAAATGCTACTAACTTCATTTAACCTGGGTGACTTTATTATCCTAGATGTGGGCTGGGGCTTTCTGCATCAGGTGACAGTAAAAATACAGCAACTGTTTTATAAATAGGCTCAACTTTCTAGTAAAACACACAAATTGCTGATTTTCCTTCTAGCCTCCAAAATCATAAAATAATATTCCATAAGTGAAATCTTACATATACAACTTAAAAAAAGAACTCTCCCTGAAATCCTTTAAATTGAAAAATTAAACTGCACAAGATTTAAATCTGAAGAAATAGTTTACTGTGTTTCTCATTTTCTCTCAAATATATCAAGCAAAAGCCTGGGCTGTTACCTGAAATTCCACTGCTAACAAGTTACTGTTTGGTATCTTGAAGTTTTAATTGAACAAGAGAGTAGAAATACATTTTAAAACCCCCTGAAACTTACTGTCATTGAGTCGTTTCTGACTCTCTCAGGTTTCTCAGGTTGTAAATCCTAATGGGAGAAGACTACTTATTTCTTTCCCAGAGGGACAACTGATTATTCTGAAACACTCTTTTATTACAACACCCTACCAACTTGACCACCATAGATCCCTATTTATTCAGTCAGTCATTCTTTCTTACTGCCCTCAATTTAATTGCACTCATAGCACCCTCCATTGGGTTTCAGAAGCTATAAATAGAAATGGGAGGAAGTTGCCTGTAAAAACTGATGTGTGAGGATGGCTATATCTGGCCTTTACAAACTTTACAATGGGTAACTGTCCCCATCAATAGCACCAACAACATAAAACAAATTACAATGACATAAGACATTAAGACATGTCCTCCACATTCCTGTATCTCTTTCTACTTATATCAACACTAATTTTTTTTGTTTTATTGCTTTATTTGGTCTAAAACCCAATGCGCTAAAACACAGACGGCACAGAACCATATTGGGAATGTCAAATGGTTATAATTCAGATTAGTAGCAGATACACTCAGGATGGCTTCTAAAATGTGCTTATAGGTGCCTCAGCCTTGAGCCTCATGGCTTTAGGCCAGTGTTACAAAGTCCACAATCCTTCCAGTTATGCTCCCCACAAATCCTCCAATCAACTTGGGCAAAGGCTCTTTACTCAAGGTATGTGGAGGATAGCAGTCCCAAAAGCAGCTCTGTCTTATATTGGGTCTCTGGCCCTGTGCTTTGGCCATTGGTGCTACTGCTGTAAATCTAGCTGGTGCAAAAATCTCAAGTCCTTAAAAGTGCCCATTGCATGCCTACTTCTTTGCTGGTGGTGAGACTCTCCTATTCTGCTGTTGAATCTGTTCAGTTTAATGGCGAGACTAGCTAATCCCCTTGTGGATAGGCTCTATATACTCTATTCACATATTTCCACCTATCCACATCACGAAGTCAAAATCAAATGGCTAGGGAAGCCATTTTGGACAATAAACCCTTGACACTACACTGCCCAACTTTCTCCCTCAGGTTCTGGTGTATTTTAATAACCAAAAGATACACAGCCTCCCGGTTAACAGCACAACTTGGTATGGACTACATACACCACCAACTCGCCCTTTCTATTTCATTTCAATGGAACCTATTAAAACTCACATAGAAAAAAAAATGAAAAGCAAAAACATAGCCATTTAATTGACTCAGATTCATGGCAAATATCCATTGTGTTTCTTAGGCTATAAAACTTAATATGAGGAGACTGCTACATCTTTTCATGTGATGGCTGGTGGGTTCAAACTGCCACCTTTCCAGTTAGCAACCCAACATTTACTGTGTCACCAGGCTCCTTTACACAGAACAAACAAACAAACAAACAAAAGTGTAGAAGGTGCTCCAACTGAAATAATCCATAGAAAACAAATTGTCTGCAAATGAAGAAAGTTTTATTTTTTTGTTTGCCTTAATTGTCAAACATCAATCACCAGATCGAAGAAGACATATGTTCAGGCTGGGCAATAGTTTTACTTCTTCAGCACTCCAGATTTTCCTGGGAAGAACAGTGAAAATCCAACAGTCAAAGGGAAAGTCAAAACTTTCAGCAACTCCTAATGAGCTGCAGATTCCTCCAAGAGTATGCTAAGGTTTCTGCTGATCCTAGGAGTGGAAAGGAGTGCCATTACCCAAGGACTATGGCAGTGAATATCCTAGTGATTACCAAGACAGGGGTTTAGAATATCTCTTATAGCTGTCACTACAGAAGATGAGACCAATTGTTTTGTGTTTTACATAATATTAAGGTGACTCTGAACTTTCTCAAAAGACACTCAAGATATTAAGCAGTCTGGTACTAGAGAATAGCGTGCAACCAGTTTGAGATTAAAAAATCATCATTAATATGCATTATAAGTGATTATAAAGGAAAATTTGAAATAAACTTTACAAAGTCAGAAGTAAATATTTGGGCATCATATTATGAATTTCAATCCACACAGGCTGAGCTTAGTACTGCTTCCCATTTACTATGGTGCCATGGGTTGGTTGAGTTATGTTCCCCCCCTAAAGAAAGAAATGTGTCAATTTGGCTAGGTGTTGATTAATAGCCTCAATGTAATAATCCACAATTTTGTATAGTGAGGCAAGATTAGTATTAGATGTCTTGAATTATAACCATATAAAAGGATGTGATTCAACTCACACCCTATCCAAATGAACCTGTTGACTGAATCATGCCTTTCATTTTACAAGAAATAAAAGGAGAAAAGAAGCAGTAAAAATGAGAGGGATTCCACTACCACCAAGAAATAAAATCCAGGAGTGGAATGTGTCCGTTGGACTCAGAGTCCCTGTGCTGAGAACTTCCTAAACTCAGGAAGCCATGGGAAGATCCCCAAGGAATACCAGACCCACAAATGTTAAATGGAGACAAGGACATTTACAAAGAAATAGAAATAATTTTCCTAGATCTGGTCTTCTGAATTGAACTGTAAGAGAATATTTTTGTTCATTAAAATCACCCACTTCCAATGTTTCTGTTATAGCAGCACTAGGTAGCTAAAATGTATAGCAAGAAAATCATGACATTTTTGGTGACGTAAGGAAATCTATTATCCTGTTTGGTTTCTAAATTACAAAAGGTGGTGAATTAGTCATTCATTCATGGTAATAATACCTATTTAGATTATGCAGGTATTAGAACAAAAATAATAAACATTCTTAGGAAAGCCAGGGACCCCAACATACTTACCCAACCTCCCTGAGCCTGGATGAACTCTCGGACACCATTATTCCCATTGATAATGCTTATCACACCTTTGGCGACCTGATTTGTCGTTTCTTGGGTTGCTTTTTGTGACACATGCTGAAAAAGCTTCACTAACACTGCCAAAAAGGCTCTCTCATAAGCTAGGCTGGAATCCTGAGCACACCAGGTCTTACTGAGTGATTCCACTGTCCTCTTGAGCATATCTTCTACCTGAGAAGAGACACAAGTTTGCCATGAAGTGCATCATTCTGCAAGTACAGGAATCTATAAAGCATATATTTGACAAAAGTGGTAAATGTACCACTTGTGGCTTATCAATTACTTTTAGTAGGTTGATGAGTAAAGTCCTCATTTTGTTATTTTGGATTATTATATAGAATGTTTTGTATTTCCTTATATTTTATATTATTACTTATTTTAATGAGTACTAGAAAAATATATAAGTAGGCCATCAAGCCCACAATGTCAGATAGTATTGCTTAAAATATAACAATTGAAAAAAATATTCTAAGTACAATAATTTGTAAAGGTTTTACCCTGTCATTACGATTAATCATGATTAACTTGCTTATTATTAGCATAATTAATATTACTGGATTATATACACAAAGAACATGGAAATTAAAATGTTTTGTTGTATATTTTCTGTCACAATAAAAAATATTAACATGATAACATATATCTTGCCAAATTGTGAAGGTATTGCTTGAATGACTTAAATCTGAAAAACTTTAAAGTAAAAAATCAACTCATTTTTTATCTTCCTTTTCCCTTCACAAACAATTCGGTCCAAAATCCATTAGGTGAGGCTGAACGAGGTTTATTGGGGTGTTGCATGAACTCACATAGGTCAGATAAGCTTGCTGAAATCCAAACAAAGAAAGGAATCTATACTTGGAGGGCACTTACATCTTGATTTCTAAAAAAAACACCACCATTATCCATTGAAAGAAAGCCAATATTCCTGAGGATTCCAGTGTGGGGACTGGCCTTATTTACATGTCAAGGTCATGAAAATCAAGGAAATGCTGAAAAAACATTTTACATTGAAAAAGAATAAAGTCTTTCTAACCTAGACAGCTAAAATATAGGTGTAATTCTAGCCTGTATATTTTTTTCTATTGACACATAAAAAAATTAGTTTATGATTTGATGATTATATGATAATGTCAGGACTAAATTCACTATTTTAATATTTATATTATTATATGAGAAATTGTACTTGTTTTGTTTGGTGGTCCAGTGGTTAAGGAGCTACCCTGCTATCTAAAGTACCATAAGAACATGAGCCAAGTAATGGTCATGAAGGAAGAAGCTGAAGATACTCTGAACACATTGGCAAAAAATAAGGCCCCAAGAATCAATGAGATACCAACAGAACTATTCCAACAAACATATGCAGCCCTAGACATAATCACCAGCTTATGCCAAGTAATTTGGAGGACAACTGCCTGGCTGACTGATTGGAAAAGGTCCATATTTGTTCCTATTCCCAAGAAAAGTTATCCATGCCCATCAACAAATGAATGGTTAGAGAAACTGTGGTATATTCACACAATGGAATACTATGCAGCACAGAAAAACAAGGGACTAATGAAATACTATATAAAATGGGTGACACTTCAGGGTCACTTGTATTTCACTTATGTTGAATGAAATATTTCAGTCACAAAAGGACAAATACTTCATAATGCCGCTGTTGTAAAACAGCACTGACATTGGGGTTGAAAAAACTGAGAAAACGGGATAAATAATGTAGACTGCATTAAAACAGATGAAGGAAAGAAATATATGATTGAGTATTATTTGCATGACAATAGTCCAGAATAAGAGTTTCATAACAAAGTGGACTAGAGGGCAGGGGAAATTGTGCAACAATGAAAGAATATTTTTTTTTTCAAAGAGAAAAACAAACTGGGGAGGTGGGTAGGGAGGAAAATGTGCAACAATGAATGAATGGAAATTCAAATTCAAATTCAAATTCAAATTCTCTATAAACTTTGGTTAAAATTTCAACTAAAATTAAAAAATTTAAAAGTACAAGCCACATGATTCAATTGTTAGAAAAGCGTCAGGATGGATGATGAAGAGATTGAGAGTGTTCACAGCTTCACTTTGCTTGGCTCCACAGTTAACACTCTTGGTACCAGCAGTCAGGAAATCAAAAAGCGTATCGCGATGGGAAAGTCTGCCGTTA